CAGGCAGTGGACCACCCGGAGCTTCCTTCAGGGTCAGGGGTGGAGTTCTGCAGACGGGGTGCAGCACAGTGTGGTCCTCAGCCAGGGCGGCTCCCTGTGGGGAGGGCAAGAGTCTGAGGTCATTAGCAGCTTCTGTAAGTGACCATGGCCTGAGAAGCCCTGCGGCCTGCAGGCTGGGTCCCATGCAGCAGGTGGACAGAAGTCAGCCCCCCATGAGAAAGGGCCCTAGTGCAGGCTCCGGGAGGGCCCAGTGGCACTGCCTTTCTTGTATGAATAATAGCATTTTACGAAGAGAGACATTTTTCTTATTTTATTTCCAGAAAACTGCTTTCTGAAGCATAGACTTTGCACATAGGATGGTAACGACTTTTTAATGACCTGAAGGGGACTGGTGTCCAGGCAGCAGCGAATCAGTCTCAGTGGGAGGCTCATAGTGAGAGAGAAGATGGAACACCTGAAACCAAAGGGGGAAAAACAAACTGCAAATACCTATATTTTCTTTGCTAGCATTACTTGGTAATTAGACAATTACAGGAAGCGGCTTCCCAGCAGCTGGCATTTCCACTGTGCGAGCGGAGGAGGGATGGCAACAACTGCGAACCCCTCACATTTATTATAGAAAATATTATTGGAGTTCGCAGTCGTGGGTGCGTGCTCTCCTCCCATGCATTCTGATGAGCTGCGAGTGCAAGCGCGAGAGTAGACCTCCTCTCGGGGAGCTCGCATGCACTGCTGGGCTTTCGGGGAGCCCACCTGCCCAGGCTGATCAGTGAGGAATTGCTTTTAAAATATTAGGGCTACTTTTTTTTAGGTTTTTTGTTTTGTTTCTGTTTTTGCTATAGGGTGTGTGTGTTCACCAGAAAGAGAGAGACAGAAAGCGAGAAATCATCCCCGAGGGGATGGCCACACAGCAGTCCCTTCCCCTACATTCTCCCCTTGGGATCTTGGGCACGCACATACACACATGTGCCCGGCATGAGTTTAAGCCACCGGGTCCGGGACTCAAACTGCAGTTGACTACATGGAGTCCAGTGACATAGCTATTATGCTATTTACTGGTCCTGGGGCTACTTTTGAGATCACCTAGAGAAGGCCAATCCAGAGAGCTGGAGGGCTGCGTTTGGAGGAGGGAAAGGAAGGGTAGGAGGAGCCTGTGAGAACTTGGCTCCTTCCCCACGTGCCACCACTCTTGGGAGAAGGCTCAGACGGCAATGAGTGACCCTTTCCCTACCCAGCTCCACCCACATCCCTACCCTGCTTCAAAGCTCTTCTCATCCCAGAAGCCTCCTGGGCAGCACCCACTCCCTCTGCCCTGCGCATCTGATGAGTCACCAGGTCACTCTGCCGGCAGCCCCCTGAGGTCGGCCCCGTATGGCCGATGCACCAGCCGCGATCACGTTTGTGTCTGGCGGCACTCTCGTCTCGGTGTGAGCCTGGGCTGCACTCTGCTTGCCTTGGGAGACAGCCCTGAGCTGCGTTCTGAATGGGTAGGAGCCTCCCTCCCCACACCTGGGGTGGAGCCCTGCCCCATCCCATCCCTCCCACAGCCCAGGCCCCCAGGACAGGAGACCCACCCTCCCTCCTAGTGGGCTCGGCCCCCTCAGCCCAGCAAGGGCGGGTATACGACACCTTCTAACCAGGCCACTGTCCTTTGCTCTCCCAGGTCCTGGCAATCAGTAACTTTCGAAAGGCAGCCTGCCTCCTTCATCCGAATCGTCGGAACACACAACACGGCAAACGAGGTAAGGGTGTCTTTTGTGCGAGGCCTGTGTTTTCCACGATACCCAGGTAAATGCTGCACCTCGAGTTAAGTGGAACTGTTTGTTCTGCCCGCTAATGGCCTGTTGTTCAGACAGCCCGGCACAGAAGCCAGCCCTGCTCTTGCACAGTGGGGATGTCATTATCATTTCTGGATGTCTCTTCACTGGCTAATGAAAGCCAATTCCTATTGCTCTGCTCATTCCTACCAGCCTCTCTGTGGAATTGGCCACCACAGAGACCTTGAGAGGTCAGACACCCCATCTCTCACTACAGAGTCCTCAGCCTCCCAAAGGACAGCAATTTTATGAGGTTCCCTGACCCTCTGAGCGTGGCGTCTGGCAGGTGGCCATGTGTCAACTTAGTTGCTTTTCATTCTCTCACTTTAATAGAGTCATTGTGTTTTTTGCATATACCTCGAAGGACCTGCAGTGAAAGACAGGAACATCAGGAATGGTAGGGTCAAATCCAGGTAGGGGCCAGCAGGTGGCATGGAGATGAGGGTGCTCAACTCCCACAGGGGCAACTGCTGTTCTAAAATCAGCCAGCGTGTGTGCATGCATGCCCAAAATCCCAAGAAGAGAGCGGAGGAGAAGGGATTTTGTCACAGCCATGCCCGCAGAGGGTGATTTCCCACTTTCCCTCCACTTTCTCTGGCGAGTGCACACCCTGATGGTAAGATCCAAATAAAAATAAATTCAAGAGGTCAGTGAGAAGTGTACAGAGAGTAAAAACTCTGCCATTTCACCTTTCTCTGCTCTTTCCCAGAACTGGACAGGACAGGCTTCGTGGGGTCCCACCAGGGTACTTGCATGGGCCTGAGCTTGGGGTCTCATGTGGCACCATCTTGAACCTCTTGGTATCTGAGCCTTTGAGATCTGCTTTGTAAGGGAAGCTCCGTGTGATAGTGGAGCGCACACCAGGGGCTCAGAGCCTCAGCTCACACGCCGTTCTGTCTCCTGATGCCTGGGCCCTGCCTGGCTCCCTCATCCCATCCTATGACTACTGCCACCCTCTAGCCTCAGTGGAGACCCTGACATGGGTGCAAGTCACAGGATAGGTTCCTGTGAGGGGCTGCACTGGCTTGAGGGTACGCTGTACCTGAGGGAGGGCAGTGTTGAACAACAGAGAGGACATGGCATGCCAGGGCAGAAGAGAGACTGGGAAGAGGAGAAAGCTCGTTTCCTGCTTTCTGAACGCGGGGCTCTGCGTTTTCGTTTTCAGCGGGATCTCTCATGTTACAGAACTGGCCCTAGATTCATGCACTGTGTTCTTGGAATCACAGTTGTCCCAGAGCACGTCAAGGTGTTCCTTGTGCTTAAAAAAGCATTTTAAATGTGAAATTATTGTGATCATTTATATTCATTTTATCTTTGTATTTATTTAGAACAAAAATGACCCTCACCCACTGCATATTTCTTGCAGAGAGGAGCTTATAAACAGAGCCCAGAACTTTTTCTCTACCTCTCTCAAAACAAATCTGAAAGTTCTAAAGCAAATCAGTTGATATTTTTTAAAAGCAAAATTCAAGAATTTGAAACATTAGGTCTTAAAAACACTTTTTTCTTTTTTCTGATAATGCAACAGAAGTGGGACCAGCAGTTGGTGTAATGGCTATGTCACTGGACTCCCATGTAGATGACTGTGGTTCAAGTCCCAGACCCAGCGGTTTAAACTCATGTCAGGCGTGTGTGCGTGCGTGCCCAAAATCCCAAGAAGAGAATGGAGAAGAAGAGATAGCGGCGTGGCCATCCCCCCCCCCGGGGGGGGGTTTTCTCAACTTTCTATCTCTCTGTCTGTCTCTGTCTTTCTGGCAAGTACACGCGCCCTATAGCAAAAACCTCCAAAAAAAAAAAAGATAATGCAACAGAAGTAAATTCAGATCTGTATTTTAATATATATTTGACCACCAGACCAATATAATTACAATTATTTTTCAATAATTCCTCAGTTTTTCTTACCACTTAAATTGCATTGAATTAACTTTACTAGTTTGAAAACAATTGAAATCTATCTTTACATAGTAATATATTGAACTAAAATTTAAATATTTTTAACTTGCAGATCTTGTTTTCTTATGCAATGTAGCTCCCCGAAGGATAATTTTCCCCCTTAATTCCTAAATGGAACTCTGAAATTTGATATTACAAGAGAAGTCCTCAAGTCAGAAAGGACAGAGGAGCACGAGGGTGAGCCTGAACAGGGTCTACTTCTAGACCTGCTGCCAGCCTCGATCCTGTCACCTCAGTGACTGAAAGAAGAAAAAAAGAATTGGGGGCATTTTCTTTGAAAGCTATTCCATTGGGTTGACAGAAAAGTCATGTTGTTGGGGGTTTTTTTAATACAAAAACACGTTGTGACTTTCTGACAACCTAACAGATGAAGGAGAATTTCCCATTACAGAGTCTCGTCCAAGAGTGTCTGTGCAGGCCCCACCACTTTGCTGGAGGCTGGGCCAGCCAGCCAGTGCAGAGTGCTGGCTAGCAGGTCACTCGGTAACTGGTGGTCTGTCACGTTTGGCTCATGAGTAACTTGCTTAGCTGCCTTACTGAGTCAGTTATTGACCGGGGAACAAAAGCCTCCAAGCAGTTTTGCAAATGAGCAACATCCTCCATCACAAAATGAGTCATGAACAGAATCATGAGGTGAGATCTATAACCTGTATCGTTCTCAGAACACACAGGAAGGCAGAGGTGAATTTCACTTGGCATCGAGAACATAGCAACCCTCAAAGAAAGCAGTCTTGACTGCAGCGGCGGGGGCTCTGTGCTGTCTGGAAAAAGCATGGCCTGGTTCTTGGTGAGGACCTTCTCCTTAGTCATGTTTTCTCGTGGCCTTCCTTGGTGTGTGTGCTGAGAGAGAAAGCTCTAGTCTGTCTCTCATTTTTTTTGTAATTTGCCAGAGGGCATGTGTGCCAGAGATAGTCAGAAAGGAAGGGTGCACCCTCCCAGTGGCTCATGACCACACAGCAATCCTACCTCTGATTTCTCCATCCCATCGGGATTTGGGGCCTTGCACGCGCAAGCACCTGATGTGTTTTTCAAAGCACTGGGTCGGGATTCAAACTGTGCCATTGGCCATGTGGGATCTGACTCCCTTAACCCCAAGGCCACAGGGCCAGTCCTTACTCTTCATAAGTTACTAATTTTATGATGGGAGATCTACCCTCAAGACCTCATCTAAACTTAATCACCTCCCAAAGGCCTCACCTCCTAATACCATTCCACTGGGCATTAGGGTTTGAACGTGTGGATTTGCAGGGGAAGCAGACATGCCATCCCTAACAGTGACCTTCATTTAGTCCGAGCCAGGCCTTGTTTTCCCTTCCCTGCTATATGTCTGTGAACTCAGAGACTGTGTGCTGTCTTCAAGAAGTACAGATGGGGAAACAGCGGTTGGCGTAATGGCTATGTCACTGGACTCTCATGTAGTTGACTGCAGTTCAAGTCCTGGACCCGATGGCTTAAACTCACACCGGGCATGTGTGTGTGTGCACCCAAGATCCCAAGAGGAGAATGAAGGAGAAGGGATTGTGGCGTGGCCATCCCCCCTGGGGGGTGATTTCTCGCTTTTTGTCTCTCTCTGGTGAGTGCACGTGCCCTATAGAAAAAAAAAAAAACTCTCAAAAAATAAATAAAAGGTACAGATAGAATTGCTTTTGGGGGCAGAAAGGTAAGACTTTCTGAGTTCATGAAAGAAAGAGAAACGTGGGCGAGCACTACTGGCACATTGCCCAGGTAGGCCTGCTTTGTGCAGGTCCTTCCAGCCCACAGAGCAGGAGATGGGGGAAGCACAGATCGGAGGGGCTCTGTGAGAGGAGGAGCCATCAGAAGAGACAGTGTCTGGGCTGCTTCGGAAAGGTGAGAAGTAGCCTGAACAGTGTGGCAGTGGCCTTAGCTGCTGGCTTTGTGGGGATACCTTAAGTAGTTTTTCAGGCCCGGAGCCCAATGGGTTGACAGATGTGTCACTGTGACATGGAACCCACCCCAGCCTCTTGACACTTGAGGTGCCATTGGAACAGCAGAGGGGCTCCCTGGCTCTGGGGCGAAGGCAGATGGGGATTTCTTGCCCATGGAGGCATGTCTGTCTCGCTCTGGTTGACCAGGTCTTACTGCGAGTCGGCTGCATGTTAATTTTCCCACTCCCTCCAACTGGCGGCTGGCAGTGACTGGCAGCCCCAGCGGTCTGGGGAGGCTCGGATTTCCTGATCACCTGTTTTGGCACGCTTCTGATTTCCGGCAGGGTTCCACCCCTCCTCTGGGAAGTGGACGTCTGCCACTGGCAGCTGTCTCTCATCCTCCTTTGTGAGCACCACACGATGAATTCATTGAATTTTTTTAGCTACGTTTACGACTTCTGTCGGTAAATTCCCCCAATGCTTAGCTCTTAAAGACTCCGCCGCTTCCTCGTGACCTCCGCTCCCTGCGTACTCGGCATTGGCCTTCTGTATCTCGGCTCCTGCAAACACTCTGCTCCCACTTCCTGCACTGCCTGTGTGGTCCCCCTCGGCTCCCCTCTTGGCTGTAATCTCGTGCTTGGCCTGGCCCTCACATGGCCCATCCTTCTCCCCTGTACCCTTGAACACCTTTGTCCCCGTCCCTGCTCTGCCCACTTCAGACTTGCTTTGTCTTGCTTCCTGCCAACACTGGAGGCCAGACATGCCAGTTTTCAGCACATCTGCCCCCCGGGATTGTTTTCATCCTTTGGATTCTCCCTAGTGTCCCTGGCCACGTGGTTCCCTTTGCCTCAGCCCCTCATGGCCTTCGTCGCCAGCTTAGTGATCTCGTGGTCAGGCCGGCCTGGTTGCCCGTCTCCCTCCACCGCTCCTGTGCTCAGCCACCCTCGACGAAGCCGTTGACCACCCCCGTCTCTCCTGTCTGGACAGCGTTACAAAGTGGGCCTCGTCAGCATCACCCCAGCATCGTGGCAGACCCCACCCACCTCCAGTACCATGCCACACAGCCGCGCTGTTCTAACTTCTGCA